AGACCTGAAGAATGTCAGTCAGTCACGCAGTATGTCAGTATGTTCTGTCAAGGTGGTGGACTGGCTACGGTAGCACTTCACCTCATTAAACTGCCCAGTAATCATGTTGGAGCAACATTTTCCATTTCCATCATTTGTACGCTTGTCGGGTGAGTATTCCAAAGAATTTTATTTTCGAATCAATTTTCAGCTTAACGGATTCCTTCTGGGGAATAATGCCTTGCGATATTCATGGCACATATGGCGATTAGAGAAATTGCGGTGACCACGGCACGTTGTACGCTGGGAATCCCTAGCGAGGGGATCCTATTGAGTCGCTAGAGGGAGGCGATCGTAATTCCCTCTGAAAAACGTCTACGGTTGTTGACTTTTCTTCATTCTTCGCTTCAAGTGCTTTTTCACCTCTTCCCCCTTCCCCCTCCAGCAAAATTCTGTGTGAAAACTAAGATATTTTCGATTTCGGAAACATGGCAATAGTGGGAGCTGAGGAAGGGGCGCGTCTGCACGGGAGGAAATTTTTGGGGAAGGTAGATTCCCTCTGACGGCAGGGCTCTGCCTGTCAGTACCAAAAAGAGCAAAGTTCCAGCACCAGCAGCCTTAGAGGGGCATTTAAAGGACATTTTGTGCCAAACTGGGATTACCGTCATGCATTTTCCACCTTGAGACTTAGCAAAAGAGTCATTCTAGTGCAGTTCTAGTCAGGTACAATCAGTCCTTCAGATCCCTCCCTCAAGTTTTCCGCCAGAGTTTCTATTTTTTACAAAAGTTTCAACATCTTTTGCATCAACGGTCGTTACCAGGGCACTCCATGGGTTGGGGACCCCTGATGGCGGTTGAATTTGATCGCAGGAGAGGAGAAGGGTCGTATTCAAGGAATGTACTTCCTAATGCCAAGATGTGCCCTGGTCGGTATAGACCCCTCTCATAAATTCCCAGCGGCTTAGATACGGCCATCTAGTTCCTTCAGAATTCCTCAAAGATGATGTGCCTTGACGATAGTGAAAGTGCTGAAACAGCCCACGGCCATTTTCAGCGCTACTTTTCAGATTCTCGTCGCTTCCAATTACGCTAGATGTTATACAATTTCTCCATCCATTCGATATGAAACAATCGATAGGCCTGGGTTTCTACTTTTCGTTCTCTCTACAATATCGTCGCGAAAAGCTGCTATCAGATGAAATGTTTCAGGAGCGCATTCAAGCGCATTCTATGCGGACGCAATGAGCAAAGAATCGTCCAGCCGATTACTGCCCCTCATTGGGAACAAGCGAACCAGCCGGAAACGTGCCGATCCGGGCACTGAGACTCCAATGCTCACGACAAAGTTCTTTCGCCCTGCATGAGATTCTGTGATATGTTTAAAGGCAGTTGGCACGATAAATTGGTATTCAGCCTAAAATGCTAGCAAGGCTAGTGGGAAAACGGCGAAAAAACGAGGTGAAACGGTCGAAAACTGCGAAGAGAAGCCTTCGCTTTCTGAGAAGCAATTTCGGACGAGTTCCCGCAGGCGTATTGCAAAATGACCGCTCTTCCGGTGGGTACGGCTTCATTTTACTATATACCACACTCAACACTGCCAGAGCCCAACTTCGTACCACCTTCGCTTCATATTTTATTAGCAAATGAAGCAAAACGAGCATCTGGTAAGGCCGTCCATTTGTGGGCGGGCGGGCGTGGCGGACGTTTAGGTCGGTATGTGTAGTTTGATAGGACCCTTATAAGGGTACCTTCATAGGAAAAACCGCTAGCACAGCGCCTGCTCAGGGTCGCGGAAATCCACCCTGCCAGGCGTATCAATCCTACTCGTCTTTAGGGATTTGTCATGCCAACCGCCTTTAAACACATGTTCCGCGATTGCAAGTCATTAGGGTCCATATAATCAATAGTTGCAGCAGTTCAGCTTGGTTGGGGCACCGAATGGCACTGAACGAGCCTTGCACAGGCCACCTTAAGAAGACCTGTGAATTCCTGTGACCAAAGTGGCTCACTCGCACCATCTTTCAGCTTCACAGAAGTTTACAGGTCTCACCAATGTATGACGTGCAATTCGACATGAACTAACAAAAGGAACCAGCGCAAGTGCGAAATACCCCTCTAACCAGGAAAGGTCAACAGGTCCAGACCAGACATTATCGATTCACGAGGTGCACATCGTTGTATCGCCGTCCTTGAGCAAGAACTCCAAAGCCACCCTCAATCTGCGGATACGTGACTCTTCTTGCAACGGAGTTGACGGCTTGTTATTCGCGCGTAGCTTTTTTCTATCATGCTTATCGCGAGGAAACGTAAAAGCTTTCTTGCATATATGTGGAGAGTCGTTGTGAACGTGGCAGTACCGCGCAACAAGTAGGAGCGGGTTCCCCAGGTGAGAGGTAGTGAGATCGGTTCTTGTGAAGCAGACAATTTTAGCATTTCCCAAGAGCATGGCCGACAAAGCTTCTAACATCTTTGCTCGCCTGCACTAGCCCGTAAGGAAACTTGCGACCAGGTTTTTTTCCAAAAGGATAGAAGCTATTGGTGGCCGAGAGTGTTTGTTCTTGTTTTCCGGTCAACTATGTCACAAGGGTTCTTGCAATGAAATGGAATGATATTCATGTTCAGCAGGTCAAATTACCTCTGGAGGCAAGCCCAGCCAAACTGATATTTCGACATAATTTGGGAAATGTGGCTATTCTATGGGTAATTAGTTGCAGACTGAGTTCCCTACATCCCCGATGACTGGTGCTAGGATGGAATGTTTCTTCCCCATCAGAAAAACGATGCCAGTGACGCACGAGTATTGAAATCTGAAACTCCTTTTTCGAGTTGAGTTCCAGGACTCAGATTCCGCAAAGTGGCGTTGCTGAGGGGTTCAATTTGACTCCGTGAACATGAGTGTGTAGCTATGTACGTAGAATGTTGATGTCGCGCTACAGTGCCCAATAGTACGTAGCAAGGTGACGTGCTAGTGAAGAAAAGGAAACAGAACCGTGAAGAACACTTTCCTTCACGAATCTGGTTTTCTATATGAATGGTCAAACGAAAAAAGCTGGCCTGGACCCATCCGAGAGGGTCGTCGCCTGGATCCCATCCGAAGGGTGGGGGGGTCGGTACTCCACACCGACATTTCGGTTCGCACATTCCCATGCTGTACCCTGGACGACGATACCGGTGCTACCGCTAGAAACAGATCAGCTTGTGATGGGTAGCTACAGGATGGTGGGCCTAGTTAAGGACGACCACTCACTGCCTCAGCTCCTTCAACCGCTTTTTCAGAAATCGAAATTCGTGCAATAATCTGCGTCCTACGGATTAGCCGCCTCCTGCAACAAAGGAGTGATTCCATCGGCGACCGCTTTTGCGCACTGGTGCTCATTGCTCAGAACCTGCATTTATACTTGTATGTTGTATTAGGCGGATGCGGAGGTGGGAGGGGGGGAGGGGGGGGTATTTTGCGAATCCGCTAGTTTCCTTTGCTAGTTCTGCAGAATTACAGTACTGTTCGCTCAGGGAGGCGTGGGTTTGGCGCGACGCCACCCCACTCTCCATCAACTGTGGAAGCTTGCAGACGAGAACAATCGGTGGAAAACCAACTGGCGCCGCGCCAGTTCAGCCCCCTGAAACCTCCCGCATGTTCGCAGGGCGAACTGATTCGTCTACAATTTCACTCCGGTGATGACCTGTAGCCCCTTATCAAGCGTAGCACGTGATACATAGCTTTGCAGGAGTGTACAAGTATCCACAGGTGCATGGTCAGTGCTCTATAGGACCAGCAAAATGCCCCCACTAAGCCGAACTGCTCCAATATCCTCAGCAGGTGTAGAATCCATGAAGCTCTCAAAGTCACATGAAGCAGTCCAATTACGGACCCCAAGTCGACCCAACCTGCAGATTCTGCATTCTGACCAGTGAGCTCAATAGACTAAGTTCTTCGAGTGATTCTTGCCTATAAAGTTTGCTCAATCGTAAGTCTATATCTGTCTACCGTATCACATTTTCTCTTAGGGACCTGAAATATTGTATTTACACAGCAGTATTACGACACACGTTAATACTAGTAAAGATGCGTTCAACAAAACCTTTTTATATTCGAAATTTGAAAATTGATTCTCTCTGTACAATATGCATGTTTTATAGTCTACGTAGGATCATACGCTACGTAACGTACATCGAACAATACGGAAATCGGAACACCCATAAAATAAACAGCTCTCTACCACATTCAAAAGGAAGAAATCAACAAATAAAAGCCGATACCATGTATAATTGCTTGGAATGATTTAAGCTATCGAAATACAAAACAGAACAATAACAAGTAAGTGATCTACAGAATTCATCACAAATCACTCTAGCGCTGTAAACGCCCTAAATCTTTTTGACGGATACGATCAGGATACAAATGCAGCCCAGCTAGCGCAGAAAAATGAAAAAGAACGAAGCCCTGGGAGGCGTGCCGTCGCCGCAAGCGAGTAAGGAGATCCGAATAGCGCGGTAGGGGGCGGGCGTCGCGTCGGCGGCACATGCACTGTAGGTCCATCAAGGAATAATAACCGACCTAGCTTCCGCGCAACTCCGCATCCCTCGTCTTTTAGCAGTCTTGCTTGAGAACATCATGAATCAAATCAATGGTTCATCTGACAGAGCCGCAACCGCGAGACCGCACGCGTCACTACCTCCTTTCTCGTTGGCACCCTTTCTTTCAAAAACTACGAATATATTCAAGACAGCGACTAGAATCTCATAAGCTACGACGAGAATTACAGTTAATCGAAATGAACGCAAAACGAGAAGGCGACCGGAACAAGACAATCGTAACGTCGCGTCGTCGCCGCGACACCGGTGGGGCCCAAAATCTTCGATGGCTTGCGCCGACTGCAAGTACGAACTTCACTCGATTTTCAAGCACGAGAAACACACTCCTCTGGGAGTGCAATTCAATTTGGGAAAAAGTGGGGAACTGGGGAAATTTTGGAAAATTTTCCCATCTCTTCGACACCAAATTTGAAATGGCAAGGGGCGGGGAAGAACTCGTCTATCGGACGCAGCGCCCCTGGCCCACCAACGGTACAATTACGATTGTCTCGTCACATTTCCAATACAGAAAGACGATACGGCTCAATGTGAACGTTGGTCTCTCATAATTTGAACCTCTCGTTTTTTCAAAACCCTAAGGCAAAAATACTCATTCACAGCTTGTAAAGTAACTATCACTATGTAACAGGAATATTTCAAAGATTTGTACAGAAGGAAGTGAAAAAGCAGAGCCATTACATACAGTGCTTTGGAAAACCGGTAATGCTAGAATGAAAGCAGTAAAATAAAGGGTAAAATAGTAAGAGGAAAGCGTGGCACTCCGTACAACCATTGCTTAAAAAATGCCAAACACTGGAAATACTGCCGAATAAACTGCAAAAATGTACAAATACCTTCATTGGTACCGATCTCGAACGATATGAGTAACGACGAGGCCGAATTCTTGACTACTTTAGGTTAGGAATGATCCACAGCCTCAGTTGCATCATTGTCACCCCTAGTTTGGTATTCTGTATGAAGTAAATTAGCTACGAAAACAGCTAGATCAGCATTAGTCCAGTAGGCGAAATGACTCTTCAGTACCGACCAATAGCTCTTGTCCGTCAGTGCGGGCTGAAAGCAAAAACCAAAATTTAACGCCTCGAACACTCGAAAAAACGGAAAAGTTGAAAAAACTGGAGATAATGCAGTTGTGGTGGGCTAACCGGCAAGAGACGCCGAGTGTGAGTAATCTGCGCTTTCCTGAAGGTGAGCCTGTACAGGAGAAAGGGTCGCTCTCTTGTCAGGGCGCGAAGGAGCTCACTTAGTCACGCCATCACCTGATTGTCCCTCCCCTCCTCTCCCACCTCCAGCACCACGGTCACGAGCATGGCGCTTCATGCGACTATACTTTTATGTAGTTATAGGATAACAGTAGTATACAGTAACTCATGACCGCGCGTGAAAGCAGCGGCTCACTCCCCGTAAACGCACACAAAACCACCCCACTGCACCTGTGCAGCACGGTCATCACGCCCTAGGGCGCGAGTGAATAGTGGAATCTGAGCCGCCCTCGCATCCCAGTCTCACCATGGAGCTCCCCTCCCCATAGGCGCGAC